ATATTCAGGCGGTCCACTTCAAAAATCCGCATGTAAATATCGAAAATTTTACTTCATTTACTATTTTTCGTAAACAAGCTTCTTTTGAGTTCCAATTTTTTGCCGGATTTTTGCCAGTTTGGCTTCGAAAATGAACTGGCCGGATTCCGGCCGGACCGGACCGGACAGGTTTTTCTACTGGCCGGACCGGACCGGATACAAAAAATCTGTCCGGTTCCAACTCTGGTTTATCTTCTCTTCATTCACATCCATACCTCAATGAAATTTATTCCAAATACCTATATAACTCATGTTGTAAGTTCTACTTAAATTTATGATAATTATACATGAATGCGATAGTACATGGGATTTAATTCAATATCTAATAAATGAAACGAAATGTCGACGTTATTAATAATAAATTTATAATTTATATGGAAGTTTTCGATCTTATACAATACATAATGGTACTACATTGAATTATTGTAAAACATTCTTATAGATTTATATAGTAATATCACTCATGATGTATATGATTATAATGGTATTACTTATGATATTATAAAGACTATATAATTTTCTTTTTGTTTTTGTTTTGCTTGCTTTTTGACTTGTAACATCTGTTTAAATATTTCGTGGTATTCGGTCGATAATGATCGAAAATTCCCATATGAATAAAAAACTTATCATTAGAAACTATTACATTTATTCTCTTTTATTAGAAATTGAATCAAATCTCATGCGTTATCGCATTCATACAGAACATGGACATCTAATTAAATCTATCAGAAAATAGTTCAAGACTATTTAACTTATAGAATAAGGAATAGAATATCTTTTTCAACAAATATATGATTGATCAATCTTTAATTAGTTCTTCTAGTAGAGCTTTTGCTAAATATGTTATAAATCTTCTGCTGGTTATTGATAGCTCACTGAAAAAATAATTTAATGAAGTCGATTATATATTCTAGAGAAATATTTTTGCATATCTGTTCTTTTCTTTTTTCTTCTAAATAAACGAAAGGTATAAGAGAAATAGAAATCATTCCCACTTCGATGTACAACGTGGCAAAGTAAAACAATAATAATCAGTTTTTTTTCTAAGTTAGTCGTTCCCAGAAGGTATTTGTAATAGTGAATCATTTACAGAGTCTTGTACGATGTGACAATGAAGTTACTTTTGGCATCATTTATTTTAAAAAAGAATTGCATATCCGTTACAAAATATTTGGCAAATTATTTAAATGATTATTAACAACATCTAAAACAAAAAACAGATAGTACTGACCCAATCAAAATATTCATATTTTTAGAATATCTATTTTACAATAAGTAACATTTTTATTTATCAATGTTATAGTTGTTAATGAAGAACAACAATTCAGTATAATAAATTATCCTCAAAAAATGTTTTCATTTTTCTCGAGGCGTTGTTCTCAACTGAAATATCCAACGAACAAAGACATGATACGACAAAATCCTGTTACTAATGAATCAATTAATCATCTACTAAGTATTTTAAATACATTGATTGTACATCTGAATATCAATAAAAATGCAAATTGTAAATACTCTTAATTCTTATCATGGATCGCTTTTATGTGATTCAAATATTCTTTCCCATAATCTGTTTTGCTAAACTTTTCGTCCATTGTCGTTTATTTTTTCAAGAATGTCGACAATATTACCATTCTTCGAATAAACCTTTATTAAAATTAAACACTTTTTTATGTCGATTGTCAATTAATATTACACAGACAAATATGCATATCTTCAAAAAATTCTTTCTTAAAAAATCATTGATTGATGAAATTAACGAATGTCTCAATTGATATTGTAAAATGATCAGATACTAGATTCGTCATTCACATCAATAGTTGACTCAATAATTGAGGCTTTTTAATCCATTATACGACAATAACATTGACAACATAGCAAATGATCCTCTACATGAACAATTCATGAATGCTATTGTTCAATGTATTAATTCAATTGATTTCAATAAAGACTTAATGAGTACAAGTACTAGTTCAGAACTTCGAATAATACTAAAAACATTGTCTACATTATATAGCTAATTTGAAAATATCATATAGACATTGTGTACATACGATTATAAGTCAATCACAACTTCGACCATTTATTCAATTGATTGAAAAAAATAAGCAAATTGCCGATCGCTTGTTGAGCACTAAAGAAAATGTCAATTATCGATTATTTTACCACAATATTTTGTATTCGATTATTAATGACGATGAACTGAATTCATATGCGATCTTACTTGATAAATTTACTCATATAGTTCTTCTATCAAAAGATTCACAAAATTATCATCTAATTGATACAATAATCAAACATTTGTTCATTTTCTCAAAATATATGATCTTTTCACAATCGAATGCATTTCAAATTCGTATTCTATTTCTTCATGAATTAATTAATAATATACCGATGTCTTCGCAACTGCGTTATTTGAGTTTAGCTTAACTTATAGATATTTTCGACAAATTAGGAAAGTTGAGCAAAAAAAAAGAATACATGCTTTTGAAATCATTATCACTTATTACTTAATCACCCAGTTTGATTATCAACAAGCATACAGGTGAACTCCGAATAAGGCTCATAGCAATATAATTCTTATAGAGCAGATAAGACAGCGATTTTTATCGACAAAATTCAATCGGTCTTGTATTTATTGATCGATTACTACACTGCGTTAGACTTTTTACACAGTACATACAAAAAGGTGATCACAAAGATTAGACAATAAAAGTCTACTGACTAATAACTAAAATCATTTGTTATACTACAAAAGCCGAACATGGATTTCTATTACTTTGAAAATATCTTTAGTTTCCACTAAATTTTCTTTTTATTCATATATGCTGCTCAGGTACTAACTGAGGAAAACAAGTATTAGGATCGTGAATATATTTTTTCAAGGCGAAAATAATTTAAAATGCTTGATCTTGATCAGTAGTAGGTATAAACAAGTTCGATTAGTCTTATAATTTTTGATTAATTTATCGTATAACTTAAACAAAAACTAATGAAGATTTCGATTCTTAAAATCAATATTCAAACAAAAACTTTTAAATTGATGTTTGAAAAAAAAAATAGTTCGAATTTGAAAAGTTATCCTGAATGATTGTCGATTTTCATAAAGTAAATAGATGTATATGATAGCTTTCGTTTAGTTATTTAAAAAAAAAGGAAAGGTCAAATTTTGTTTTAATTGAAGAATAACTACTTATTTTACAAACATAAAGAGATTCTCTTAATTTTACAAAAAATTTAAAAAATCAACATTTTTCTTTTCCAGTTTAAATTTTTGACTTCGAACACTAAAATATCAATCTTACGATCAGAAATAGTTGAATCTTCATCATTTGCTAGAATATAACAACTACAATGATAATAGTAGCTCTGTTTATCATTGTTTTTGTTTATTTAAATCTTATATTGAATTAGCAAGGAGTATTCGCTAATAGATAAGTCGCTTTCAAGATGACTTGTACTTTATTAAATAGATCCTATTGGAAATAGAGAATAGCTAAAAGAATTCATGTTTCCACTATTCTTTCTTCTAGAGCTATGGCAAGTTGATTGTTTTTTTTTTCACACAAGTTTGTAGTCATTCTCAAGTATCTCTTGCAATGTAGTATTTCCTATCCTTAGATATTGATGTTGAAAATTCTATAATGTTAAAAGCAACTTTGCTCTTATAGATATATCTTAGCATAGGGAACATCAGAAAATTTAATATTTTCACATCATCTCAAAAATAATTTGTCACTTGATTGTAATTGTTTAATTTATTTATCAATAATATCTACTTCAATTGAATTTAAGTTCTTACTTCTGATATTCCCATCAAAAAAATTGTCATATACGATTGATCATTGGATCATTGGAAGAAATAAAATTATCGTTCACTAAAAGCAAAATTTAAGAACGAGCTAAAAAACGAGATCTACAACATATTACATAATATAATGGAGAAGATGCAACTATTGTATGGATGTATGATGGTAAGACAATGAACGATAATAATCTATTCGTAATTCAACAGCAACTTAATTTAATCAGATATAGTGTACGATATCTTGATACTTCAAACAATCTTAATTCAGCTCTCAATTTTATTTTACGTCGACAATCTGAATATATTATCATTCTTATTGATTTTGTTGCTCTTTATTCTATTATCGATCAACTATTTCGTAGTCCACACTTATTATTATCTGTTTACGTATATAATTCAACGAAAGAAATTCCAATGATGTCGTTTGTTTCATCGGACATATAATCTTGTATAACTTCATTGGTCATGGATATGAAATTTCAAACTATATGCAATGCTGAATTTCTTTTCTATGAATCTAAGCAGATACAATCTGCATCTGATTTAAATATTTCATCGAGTCATTTTCTTTGGCATTCAATGAAATAGATTATTTTGAAATGATTTACAATAGAGAAAGGCCAGAAATTTGGTATGATTCAAAAAAGTCAACTTTTATTCAACGAATTCTACAAAATGCCTTCAAATAGTGTAATATGGATACTATTTGTTTAGCTTGCTCGATTATAATTGATTTAATTTGCAAAATATCATTTTCATATACATCAAATGAACGATATCATATTTTTGTTGGTACAATTATGAGTAAAAAAAACAAATTGAATTTTTATACAATCATCAAAATGTTCTTTTGACATCGATCGATTTTCTTATTGGATATACAAATCGAGATAAAATTATTATAGGTTTTTCAACAAAAGAAATAATCAAATAATAATTTTTATGGAAAAGTTGTATTTGAAATTTATACCATTTAATATTCCAATATTAAATCTTTCGAATTATACTAATTATTTTCTTCTTCTCAAACTATAATATTGTTGGAGTGTTTATTAATAGTTATATTTATCTCAAATTTCAAGTTGGTGAATATATCAATCGAAATATTCTTATTGGTTTATGACTTGTCGATATGAATTGTATTCGATCTGCAATGAATTATTTTCTCTATTATGATTATCACGAACCAGATAATAAAGAAATTGAAATACATAAATTAGCAACATTAGGTCGAATAGTTCTACGTTATAATAAACTCGTCGATGCTGAAAAATTTCTTTTGAATGCATATGATTTGTACAAGAGAAATCATCGATCTATTGAAGATTCTTTTATTGATCGTATCCAACTCGATATTGTACTAGTCTTGATACAACAGAATAGAATTGAAAGAAGTGACTGATCTCTACCGTAAAACTTTATCATTTCTATGTGATTCATCACAAAATCTATCTATAACATTGCTTAATCCAGCTCAAAACATATCAAGTTTTTGTAATATCGATCTCGATCTAGCAAATAATTCATGAATATGAAACAAAAGACTATCTTTGTCAATTAGTGAATGAAATCAACCAATGAATCATTCGATGATACTTGCCAGTTTGCATTGTCTTAGTAAATTACCTGATCTTACATCAGTAGCTGAAAAATTAGAAGCAAGATTAACTCTCGTTTATCAAGGAACTCTGAATGATGAATCCAACAAAATTATGGCTGATATTGAAAGACGTTTAGCTCTTCATTTTATCAAAGCAGATGAAAATTCTAGAGCAATTCAATGGTTTTAGATGTGTTTTTCAATCTAGCAGAAACATTGGCTCGTTACTAGAGTATCTTATTCATCAATGTCAGGCTTATTTTTTCAAAAATTTATTGAATTCTGAATTGAATTTACCTATTAAAACGTCATCAGGACATGATCCATTGGAATTGATTGATGTTGTTCGTAGTGCAGCATTTATGCACCTAATTATGAAGCCAATATTACGAGAGAAAGTTGACGAAAAAAATCATCCATGGAGTAAGTAAGACATTTTCAAAATAAAGTGTCATTGAAGGTATAAGATAAATTAGAAAACTATTTGAATAATGTTAGCGGTAAGGATGGGTTAACAAAAACTTTCAAAAGAGTATATCAGAAATTTTATCTTGAATCATTTGTGATTTGTTACAGAGAAAGAAAACAAAAATTTATAATTTAAAACTTTAATCAATGTTCATTGTGCTTTCTAAATTGAAACATTTCATTCTTTAATATGCTGTTGTTAATTCAGTCTATTGTAAAAGTTTAAGCGAAACTATTTGTCTCTTCATTTATCTAACGATGAATAATCTCGGAACGATTGAACACTTTTGAGTCAATATTTTATTCAGTGATAGGAATCTATAGATTATAAGATATTAATGAGATCAGCTTATGCATAACATTTCAGTTTAATGGACACAGTGTTCAAACCATAATTCGACAATAAAGCAGTATTGAAATATTGGATCACATCATTCAAATTGATATTTAGACGAAGCAATGACAAGATTGAAACATAATTGTGACATTAATTCAGATGTTATTCTTCATCAATTAGTTATTTGGATTGATCCAAATCTTCAACAAGAGAATAATACAAATACAACTTACACATTACTTCATACATATTCACATGTTGATTTTTATCCATTCGAAGATGTTGATTCTGCAATATTTTATCTCATACGTAAACATGAATTTACACACGTTCAAAGTATTTTAGCGAATAATTTAGCTGATGAGATTTTTGAAATGCAAGAAATAGTACGGGTTCAAACGGTAGTTTATTTAACCATATCTGTTTTCATATTTGATGCGGATGAGCAAGAAGAAATGGATCGTTACAATCATTATCTTCCATATTTACCATGTCGTCAAAAATGTTGGACCAAAGATCGATATCATTATTTAAAATGTCTAATCATGTCAAGAGATGAACATCTATTACAGGAATTTTCTTTTCAAACGAATACACTTGGTTTTAACACTGGTAATATTATTTGACTAGTAGACAATGGAGCATTTGGCAACATGTTTTTTGATACAGTTGATCAGGTAAAAGAAAATATTCTATTGACAGATGATATTAGTGGGTGTGGGTGTTGTCTTCTTTTCACCCACCCACACCCCAAAAAACTATCTACTATCGACGTTTCTGAAGACAGAAGTATGCTTTCCATTCTTCATTCCCTCCGAGGTTTGAGGTCCTTGATTTTTTTTATATTTCCGAGATTGACTGCATCACTGTAAAAAAGGAATTAAGACAAAGGCTGTTGTATGACTAAAGGAGAGCGAACAAGAGTTCGAAAGATAGTCATCTGAAAGTGAGAACTCACTCTTCCGAACTGTGTAGGTCTTTTAGTATGCTAAAACCTTTTCTCATGCTACGAAATAGATAAATCCCTGATTTCAATGAATTTAGTAAATAGTAAAAAATTAAATCTTGGAAGATCCTCATTGTTAGTGGTGCATCTTTTAAAAAAGATTTCAATATTATATTATTTGTTCGTGCAGAGATATATGGTAAATAACTATGCTGAAAACATGTCGGGACATCCAGTTTCTCTTTATTAAGAGTTAGAGTTTCAAAAACTAGAACATTCCTCATTCCCTTCATGTCACCCTTCCATGATCATCTGAGGGATTTCGATCCTCCTCTCAATGAGAATCGTTCCGCCTCCTCTAGAATGATTATGATCCAATTCATATTTCTCAAATATACATATATCTTGAACTTCACATGTAAATGAAAATCTATTTATTGAGACTGAATCAACATATATTTTATTTTGCATGAAATTAATTGATTGAATGTTGGAACCATTGACCAGAAGTGCTCATCGACAGAAAATAGTACATTCAGTTTTTCTAATTTGTAGAGTTAAATATCAAATTGTTGTGAGCATTTACCAGTGTGATCATCTTATTTTCAACAACGTACAGCATCATATGTCTATTGATTGTTATTTGACAGACAAGTGGATTTGAGAAGTAACGGATGCTTTACACAGATATTGCTAAAAGCATATAGGAAAGTATAGAGATTAAAACTTGACATAGTCGGATTCCACTAAGATCGGACAAACCAACCATGCTGATCAAGTCAAAATGGAATTTGAAATATATTGAGTAATTCATTCACTTGTTCGTTGATCATGACATCTGCTTCAAAGTAACTTGATATTTTAACATAGAATCTTTTTAGTTTATGTAAATGATTAGAAATTATGTTTTCCCATTCATATTCACTTTCAATCAACATAAATTAGACATCCATTGTAATATGTTAGGTAAATCGTATTCATCATCACTTGGCGACAGCTCGAAAGAAGTTATTGATAGAACATATGACGTTAACAAATCAATAGAACAATCGTAGGAAAAAGATATGGAGAGGTGTTAAAGATTTGGTGTATTTGTACATAGTCGATCACAGTTAAAAAAGTATGAATCTAGATGTCATATACATAAATGTATAATACTTGGTGATATCACAATGGGCTCTATGAAGTCTTCATAACCCAATTGATGCTAACTAGTAGCGTTAAAAGAATAATGGGTGAGATTCGATAGATTCCATATATAGTTTATAAATGAATGGTTCATTGAAAGATCCTCTGACTTATCAACTGTCGAAAAACAATGGTTGAAGGTCAAGTAAGTAAGATTGATTAAGTGAAGTAATCTTAATATGACTTTTCCCCGAAACTACTTTTCTGAATGATCACTAAATTGACGTAGTTGAGAAGAACTTTGACTTGATAAGTACAGTGAAGATAAATTATCAATCCAAGATAGAAGATATTCTTGACAGATTCTAACAAAATCATTGACATGCAATGATCAAGAATCGATATCATACATGGAAAAATAATAAGAAACAAGAGAATTAAACCGGCAGTTAAAACCATGAAACAGAGTTGAAACCGATCCGGCAAACCGGCCGGTCTACACCGGTTTTTACCGGTTTAAAAGACTTTTTTAGATATGCGATTTTTCTTTGATAAAACATACCGAAAGCAAGTTTGAATGCATTTATCAAGATAATCAAACAATATTGTTCAGAATTTATCAATTTTAAGTTCTTCTGTTCGTCTATACTTTTATATTTTTTAATCAAATTGTATTTCGCTTTGTGAAAAGCGCAATGAAAATTGTGTTACTTGAGATGAAATTCTCAACTTATGTGGATGATGTTTTGTTAGGGACTAGATTTGAGTTTGAATCCTCGTTCTAAGAGAAACATTTCGTTGTTTAGTAAAATTTGAGTGAAAAACTTCAAGATTTGTAGTTTAGCAACCAGTTGTCGGGTAAACTGACTCTTTTTCGCGGGCAGAGAAACATTCCATATTCATCACTAAGAAACTTTAAAACAAACGGCTATGACATGATATTTTCTCTTAAAGATTCCTAAAATAGAAGCGAAAATAAAGAAAACTGAGTGGTTTGGAAGTGACTTCTTTCAACCGATTAAAAAGTGATCTGACAAACCAGTCGGTTTTTACCGGTCTGAAAAACTTTTGGGACCGGTCGGACCGGTTCCAAAATTCTCGACCGATTACAACTCTGCCATGAAATGCATGAATAAGATGATCGATGCAAAGATATTTGAACAGTTAAAGTAATAATTCATTGGCTAATGATTCTAAACTCATTTTTAAATGTATTTCCTCAGTATCCGTCAGAACAAATCAATCAGGAAAAAAAAACAGAAATTTTTTTAATCTTAATTATTCAAAACATGAAATAAGAGTGAAATAGTTTAGGTCAGATATTTTTTGATGATTTTGAAATTCAAAAAAAATCTGATTTCAACTGTTTCCTGTCCGTAGTTTACTCAGCTTTGTGATTAAAATATACTAATGAGTTTATTTAGTTTTTTTTCTTCTCATCTTAAATTTGAATCAATTCTTGTTAGACAATGATCTCTTTTACCATGTTTTGATTTTATTATATTTTGATGTAATAGAAGAAAAAAAAAGGAAGAAAATTTAATCAATATAAATTTGAAATCTTTCTGGTGGAATAAATTCATAACCTTCACCATATAAAATGGGAATAATAACTGATCCAGGTGAATTTTTAATACGAGTTATTGTCAATATTTGATTTTTTTGAAAATTATTAATATTAAAAGTAAATTCTTTTGGTGATAATGTAAAACAATCAATACATTGAGTTGTATTCCATTGAACAAGAACAGTACCATTTCCAACAATTCGATGTGGTGGAGTAGAAAGAGAAACATGAAATTCTGCACTTTTATTTAATTTAATTGTTGCAGATTGTGGATAATATGAAAGACCAAGATCAACATCTTCACAAGTGGTAGGCCATTTTTTTGGAATTGAATTAAAATATTTATCATCTGGTTTTCCAATTGATATTATATTATAATTTATTGTTGTTTGTATAAATCTAAATCCTCGATAAACAACTTGAGTTAATCGTAGAGGAATTTCTGTATTTTTTTTTAAAAAAATTTCTTGACATGGAGGTTCACTTCCATCCTCAATTTCACATTTTTCACTTGTATACCAATAATCTTCATCTAAAGAAGAATTATTTGAATGTATCATTTTATAAGTAAAATTAAGATAATTTTTTATTTCAAATGAACTTCCATTAAGCCAATGTGATGGAAATACATTCAAATAATATCCACCATATTTCCAATATGTTGTATATTCACAAGATGCGATTGATGTATCACCTAATACTAACTGTACATAATATTTTGATTGAGGAGAACCAGGAATTGCATATGGAAAATGTTGCAAAGCATAACTTATTTGTGGTGTTGGATCAAAACTATATTTAATTGATTGATAAGCACGTTGATTTATTTCATCAATTGCAATTATTGTTGTATCATTACCAATGGAAAAAACAACTTGACGAGGAAAATATGGTTGTTCACAATATCCTTTATAATACCAAAGAATAAATGATATTAAATACAATAAGATTTTCATCTTTCTAAATTGATTAGATATTTTTACTGGCTTATGAGAATATATATAGTGTTTTTTGCTACGTAATAAATAAATTACCATCAAATGATGAATTGGCAAAAAAAAAGAAGACACTATCA